TTTTGCCAAGCAGAGCATCATTCGTATCTTCTGGGAATGCTCATAATTCCTGCCTTTGCTTGTCTTCACCATTTGGTGCTCCTCAGACCTTGAGGCTCCGCGTTGCCATAACCTGCCGTTGGATTGAAGAGCCACAGCTGCCTTCTGCCTCTGCCGGTCCAGTGCTGATCAGGAGCTGTGCTCAGCACCAGACTGAGGAATCAAACCATTCAAAGGTCTTGGTTTTTGGGGAGGCACATCTCCAGGACTGAGGAGCAGGAACTGTGAGGATGCCAGACTGTTCTGCACCGTTCCAATTTTCATTCGTTATTGCAGATTGTTGAAACTTAGTTTGTTTATTTTTTCTGCAAGTAAACTGGTTAGGTCACCTCTTGTCTAGTCTTGATTAGATGTCATGGAGATGATCAAGAAGATTGCTACATTCCCCACCATAAGTATTTGTTGAATAATGTATTTTCTTCTCTACCTGGACTACTCTAATAGAGTACTACTACTGTATATTAATGTGATGTGGAAATTCAGGTTTTGCTGATGTACATTGTGCCAGTCCCAAATTAGGCCTCAGTTCTGTTTTGTTGTGCTTTTTAATGGGTAGGATATGAAAAAATGTATTTTCAGAAGAAGTCTTAATAAATCTAAAACTACAAAAATTACAGTGAAATTATAATTAAGAGAAACTCATTATAATTTAACATCCCCCCCTAATGGGGGATTAGGGACGGTTGGAATGGATGATCTCTAAGGTCTTTTCCAACCTAGAAATCTATGAAATCTATTTATCTAGACCCTTCCATTGCTTTTAAAAGTTATTTTAAAATTTGGAAATGTTTTACTTAATTCCCATTTTACAGAGGGAGAAACTAATACACATCTTTTTGCAGAACTGATACGATGTAAGTGGTTCAAATCATGATAGATCAGAACCAAGAAGAAAGCCATGGTATGACTGTCAGCATGATGTGTTATTCAAAAATATTTTCTAAGTCATAATTTACAAACAAATTGTTGACCTATAGGCTCTGACAGAGAAATTCACATTATGGTGAAGGAAAAATGGTCA